GTTGGTGAGATTCCTAGGAAAATAAGCTGTCCGAAACGCGCAAGCGTGGACGGAGGTGTGTGTCGTGGTGTTTGTGTTTTGGTATTTGTGGTGTTCACCTTAATTATAATCATTTTTGTGTGTTTGTGTCGTGGTGTTCGCTTTTGTAAATCGTGTCCTGTGAGGCGAGGGTTACCCGTTCAGAGCGTGTTTGGGCTCTTACCGGACATTTACAGTGTGATTTGGGGGTTCCGTGAAGAGGTTAGGGGGCCCCGTGGGGGGTCGGAGGGGGGGTAGGGGTTCCGTGGATCATTATGACCAAAAAGTCGCATTTTGTCCAAACACAAAAAACTCATCGGATATCGACGCAGCTCGACGCCGCCGTCACGGCCAAAGCAGTTTCACCTTCCAAATCGTTTTTGTTCGAAAGTTATCGCTAAAAAACAAAATGGACAAATTGTCCTGNTGGGAAGGAAACAAGAAGTTTGTGAAAGTGCTCGAGGCGGCCCAGATGAAAGCAGCACAAGTCATCACAGGATGCTCCAAGCGCACAAGTAATGCAGCCGTCAGGGCAGAATTGGGGATCCAAACCCTACTATCGGAACGAGACGCAAGGAAGCTGACATGGGCGTATCGCATGTGCGGTATTGGGGAGGAGAGTTCGACGAGAATAGCCTGGGAGGCGAAGTGGGCAAACAAGAAGAGGGGTAGTCAACCCACGGTGTGGCTCGAGGTTGTATGTGACGTATAGAAAGGGTTCGAAATTGACGAAGACGATACGCTGAATACGGAGGGTCTAGACGGGCTCAAAGAGAAGATATATGTTGCTTTTGCCGAGAGAGAACACAATCTAACAAAAGAAACCCAGATAATCGAAGTGTACGGAATGTTGAAGGAAGGAAAAGGGTCCAAGGATTACCTACATGGGCCAATGGGTGCAGGGACAAAGTTGAAGGTCAAATTCAGGACCGGGGACATTGGCCTTCGAGAACGTACCCGAAGAATTCGGAAGGTAGACGATGAAGACGTCAAGTTCAAATGTGATCGCGGTTCCGAGTGCGAAGACCGTGTCCATGTAGTCGCCGAATGTTGGCTGTACAAGAAGGAGAGGGAAGTTTACATGACTGAGCTGGGAAAAGTAGAAGAAAAGCACAGAGAGATGTTTGAGGCATGTGATAGCCAAGATAAGACGTTAGCTGTGGGGCATACAAAGTGGATTGAAAAGGCGGGCAGTGATATCGGGAGGATAGATAGGCCAGGGAAGATACGTTTGAGCCACCTTTGGCAAAGTAGCAAGGACCGATTGCCCATCGGTGATCGGTCCTGTGGGAATAATACTCCGTCCTCTCGAGAACGCGTGGTCAATGGTCTAACCGCTATGGCATGCAAAACACAAGACCCCCCTCAGTTCAAATTTGAAAGCGGCTCTGAGTGCGAGAGACCGGTTCATGTGATAGCGGGATGTCCGTTGTACGGCAAAGAGAGAGGAATATACATATCTGAGCTGAGGAAGTAGAAGGAAGGTCCAGGGAGATAGGCATGAAATTGCCAGGAGACGATGATACGTAGCTGTATTGGGGCATAGGTAGACTATAGTGGGTTGAGAGGCGGGAAATGACGTCGATGGAAGAGATGAGCTAGGCAAAACGTTTTTGAGGCTCTTTTTGAGAAGTAGTAGAGAATGACTGGCCATATTCGATCGATCCTGTGGGAACAATGCACCCTCCGTCCTCTCGAGGACGCGTGGTCAATGGTCAAAGCGCCATGGCATGAAAAACATGAGCACACCCCTCCGCGCGTACAAGCAATTTTTCGAGGTGCCCCCCCACCCCTCCCGCCCCGAATCTGAAACTAACTGCCTGTCTGCTGCCGCCATGTTGGGCCCATTCTCATTTGTACGCGCATTGGTACACCACAAGGAAGGGCGGGTTCCTGTTCTAAATACCACGTCGGAACTTGGTACCTGTTCTTGTGGCCAAGTTTTTAGGTTTTGGAGTTCTTGAAGTCTCAAGTTCCTAACGGCTAATAAGGCCGAGTCTTATGGTTTGATTTTTCGGGGGGGGTTTCTCTCGGTCGAAGGGGGATGGCCTGCAAAGGATAAATGATCTTTCGGTTCTTCGAGGCATGTTTTTTCTCCGGGGAAAAATAAAATGGCCGATTCAAGATTATGTGGGTCACAACATGCTTCAGTTCACGGTTTGGGCTCGTGTGTGACCAACAAGACACTGAGCGCCCGTTTTTGGGTCGCCTCCAGAAGGCATGTGTTGTATCATCGCACACCAGTGGCTGCAGTTTGTGGAAGTCGTCCGCCAAAGGCCTCTCTCTGGCATGCGTTGTGGACTGATCACGCTCGGAGCAACCAGAAAAAAAAAGGCAACATCCAAAAAAAGTCAACACCGCAACACTCTTCGTTCGTCTTCAGGCCGTATGCAATAAAAACTGGACAGTACGCTCTGTTTCTGGGACGCGAGCAGGGCACTGGCTGCTGTTTATGGATGTTGTCGGCCAAAGGCCTCTCTCTGGCATGCGTTTTTGACCGGTAGTGGGTGACACACGGAGCAAACACGCGGCGGAACAAGAAAAAAGCCGAAAAAGTCAACACCGCAACACACTTTGGTTCACGTTTGTAGCCCGTGTGCAATAAAAACTGGAAAATACGCTCCGTTTCTGGTACGCAAGCAGAGGGTATGAGTATGACCACACGCCATTGGCCGCAGTTTGTGTATGTCGACGGCGGAAGGTCTCTCTCTGGCGTGCGTTTTCAACTGGTGACACATGCAGCAGGCGCAAAATCGGAACTTTTCGGCCGAAAGGCAAGAACGTCAGCAGAGTAGTGTGGTAGGGTTGACGTTTTCGGCGCTTGTGCGGCTAACACGACGCAGAACGCCCTGAATTATAGCTACCTGTAGAGGGTTTGTGCGTGATCTCATGATACTGGCCTCTGTTTGGCCAGCAGACGGTGTAGTTCCTCGTTCTGGCACGATCGGGATGGGACCGGGGGGTAACCCCCCCCATTTCTAACAGCGATATTCCAACCCGATCGCTGTTCGCTGTTGGAAAATGGGCCAATTTTCTAACAGGACGGCCGGAATCGCTGTTGGATTTCCGGTTCCAAGTTCGTCCATTTCAAACGTAGGATTCATTACCCTTGTCGTGACAGTAGCAAAGGCTGTTATACTGACAATATGTTCGACGATGTCGTGTGGACGACGTCTGGTGTCTCCAACAACAACACGTTAAATGCGCAGGCATGTTAGGCGCATTCAGTGCCACACTGTGACATCTGTGTACGACAGGTTATACAGTGTTGACTTGCACTATTGAATGCATACGATGAACACAAATAACACAAACACACGGCGGGAAAGAAAAGAATAATCCAAGATTGGTAGGGTTGAGAATCGGTTGGGTTACACGTTGTTTCAAACATCATTTTTCGGCGAAGCCGATGTTAGGATACATCGACGAGCGCAGCGAGCCCGCGAGCACAGCGAGCTTCGGCGCGAAGGAGCTCGAAGCTCGCTGTGCGAGCTAAATCGGCCCCCCCGGCTGCTGAGGGGGCCCCGATGGAGGCGCCGCCGGAGGCAAAAATTTTAGGGCCATTTGGCTTCATTTCCCTTCACAATCCCCTCAAATTTGATGCATGAGCCCCTGAGATATTACGTGGCCTATGAGCAGTACCCACAAAAGTATTGAAGAAATGGTGAAAAAAAGAAAACTACATGTGGTGTAGATCGTAGAAACAAAAACTCGGAATCTTTTGAAATCAACAAGACATCTGACATTCATTTTCTGACGTCTGTGTAGCATTCTCGCGTTGCACGCAAAGAATTCGGACTAATTCTACCCGCCCCCACCAGGGGTAGAAAACCGAAACCAAGGAAGGAACGCAGCGAACGCGAAAAAAATAAAAAACAAAGGCACCAATCGGGTGCTGGGTTCGGGCTATCGCTACAATTGAAACCGAGCAAATCCTCAATTAACTACGAAGTAAAACAAGCTAGATACCGCCCAACCGCTGGTTCGTACAACGTTCTGTTTCATCTACATATTTTCAACTCGTTCCTTCCCATCATTTTTTGGGATCGCTCTTCCTCTTGTTGCCATTTCCGTTCCACCGGTCCACCTCGCGTAGAACATTACGCAGGAACAACATCAGTTCTACGTTTTCGGGGTCCATGCGAGCGCGTGTCTTCGTCACGACTAGTCCTGCCGACGAAAATACACGCTCCGACTGGGGCTGAGATGCTGGGATGCACAGTACCCTGCGCGCAAGTAAAGCCAGCGCCGGATACTCCCGTGCCTTGACACGCCATCATTCTAAGTGGCTTGCCGCGAACTTCTCGGACCTTTTCTTCCCAGGACACTGCTAACCGAGGCGTTGTCTTGAAAGCGCCCAATTCCCGGCTGACGATGCTCTCCATCTGCTACCTTGAAGTCGAAGAGCTCGCATTGGCACTTTGCTGCTTGTCCCCGGGCACCGCGGAAGCTGCTGCGAAGTCACGGCGACGCCGAGGCTGAGGAGCTGCGGCAGCGGCGGGTTCGACCGGAATAAGGGAAGAAGATGCGCCGGCGCTCTGGGTGTCTTCCGTAGCCTTGGCTTCGATGGCCACCTTGACCGCCTCGTTGGCAACGGCCTCCCACACGTCCGAGTGCTCGGTCTCCTCGATCCCATACAGGCTTTTGCTCCGGGGATCCAAAGCAGTAGCAAGCACTTGCTTCTTCTTGAACCCGCGGGGCTGCCGGCGAGGAACCTCCGTGTACACCAACACGTCGGTTCCGTCACCTCAACGATGACTGAGGTCGGTCTGACGTGCTTGGGCGCAAAGAAAACATCCTTTTTTGCCTCGGCCACAATCGACTCCGCAGGACAAGCGTGGGCTTGGAGACGTTCGACCGCTTCGTCCAGTTCGTCCCTCAGGTCGGCGATGTACGGGATCACCAAGCTCACCGTGACGTCCTTGGACGCCTCACGGTGTTTCTGCGACAATATAAACGGCTTCGACAGCGGCTCCACCACCTGAAGCACCTCCCAGTCCTTCTCCTTCAGTAAGGGAGGGATGCTGTCGATTCTCTCGTGTTCTGTGATGGGCCGGCGAAGGGAGAGAAGGCGGCAGATGGACGCATACGTCGACCACCACCTCGTTTCGACATCCTGCACGACCTTCTTCCTCTCCACTTGCACGATGTCACGCATCTGTTCCAAACGATCGGAGGCCTGGCTCGACATGTTGTAGCGCGTCACGACGCGACGTGCAAGAGCCAGCGCTTTCGACACGCCTGGGCCGCCAAATGCTTGAGATGTGATCGACTCAAGGCGGTGGCAGAAGCACCCCAGGTGGGTAACGCCCTCGTTTTCCTCAAGGAGACGACCCGCCTTCACCATGGACGGCTCGCAATCCGTCGTGGTTGCCACGGTACGACTCGTCAGACCATTTCGGGCGATCATGGCTTTCACGGCTTCCACGAGATCCTCACCCGTCGTGCGCCCTCCATGCTTCTTGCACTCCACACAGAGGGCCACCAGGTCGAAGTTGGATGAGATGTAGGTGCAGGTGAAGTACATGTACGTGTCGTTGCTGGCTGATGTCCATCCGTCAGAGGTGACGGCAACGTGCTCGCCAGTCAGCCTCCCAAGTACTTCCTGATCCAGCCCTTTCTTCATTCCGCGTAGCTTCTCGAGGAAGAGGCGTTTGTGAGGCACAGTAGCCCTGGATTTCAGAAATCGTACCATCTCGATGAAGTGTTCGTTCTCCACCATCTGAAATTTTGTGGAAAGCGGAGGGTAAGGACAGCAGTCAAACAGGCGGACAGGGGTAAATATTAGTCAAATGAAACAGCGTCGGCAACCCCTCCCGTGGCTGAATGATTGGGTGATATGAACGTCGAATTCGAATTTCTTACTTGTGGAAGCATTGCACCCAGAAGCGGTTAGAGAGGTGATCACCATACTAAAAAATATATGTAAATATAAACGTAGTAGCAGGTCGAAGGTAGGTGGCAGCCGAGGGAGATTTGTTGCGTGCCGACCAAGTACAGAGCAGACTGTTGCAGAGAAAAAAAAAAAATGAAAGTTCAACACATAAATTCAATCAAAGAGAGCAGAAAAAAAAAAACACACGACTCACCAAAATCGGTTGGTTGGTCATGATGATGAACCGGCTAAGCTTCTCGACGAACGCGCTCGTGTCTTCTGTCGTGAAACGCCTGATGTCACCGCCGTGCGAGCCACCCCTTTTGCTGCTGGAAGAGGTACGAAGTCGATGGAAAGTTTGCCGGTGCCCCACCAGCGCTGTCTTGAGATGATTCACCAATTTGGTGGGAGACCCGCTTTTGAACTTGACCTCGGCGTTCGACAGGTGGTTATTCTTGATGCGCAACGAGCGCACAGCAATGTTTCGGAAGTCGCGAGGCACGTATACGTTGTAGATCCCAAGCGCCCACACAGCATGAGTCCCGGCATCAGGCTTTGTCTTCTTATGCATATTCTCAAGGCGATCAATTTTGGCCGCGAGTTCAGCTTCTTTTGCGTTTTGGTCGTTTGCAGCCACAGCCACCGCCACACTACTGGTGCCATCCCCCGGGCCCGTGGAGGTCGGGCCGGCGGAGGTCGAAGATGAATTGGATGCGCTCATGATAGGAACGCTGTGGGATGGCATGCAGCGCGTGTGCGTCCCCTCCGCGCAGAAGAGAAATAGCGGGGGCATTTATGTAGGCAAGAACTACAGAATGGTACCCCGCATAGTAGGGGGTTGCGTGTGCGTAAATCTTGTACGTCACTGCTACAGCACGCAAGAGGGCAGAGCGCTTCACCAGCATCGTATACGGACTCATACGCATATGAGAACCCCTCCACAAGCACTGGGATGCCACCACCCCCTTCGTACGGCCAACTAACGGTACAACGCAAACGTCGGTAAAACATCGGTGAAACATCGGAAAATCATCGTCCTATTTTTCCGATTCCAAGTTCGATTTAAACGGTCCGATTCAATCGATGAATCGGGAACGATTCCCAACCCTAAAGATTGGGCCCTCTCGGGGTGGGGAGGTACGTAGGTGTGAGGCGGTATAACGTTGTTCGCCACCTTTAGCATATTTGGGGATGACGTTGAATGCCCCGAAATGTAAGAGAAGGATTCATGTCTAGCCGCGTTTTACCTGCGTGTAAGCATACTTCTAGTTTTTGTAAGAACAAAACAAGCATGTATGTTTATCTTGTGCAACCTTTGTCTTGTCTAAGTATGATTTGTAGGCGGGTGGATGGGTGTGATCGGAAGCGTAACGAAGGGACTTCCAGGATTGATCCGTGTGTTGGAAAAAACAGTCGATATCAAGAGTTTTATCAGATAGAAAGGCTTGTTGAACGGATTTTTCAATGCCTTTAGCCGTGCGGAGGATAGGGGGTTTAATTTTTGGTGAGTGTCGTTGTGGCGAAGTGCCGAGAAAGGATAGGCCAGAAGAAGGAGAGCGTTTGGCAGAGAAGAAACAAGGTTTTGAGGGACATATTGGTGCACGAGTGTTTGCATTCTTAATGGTTTGGTTTATTGTCGGTCTTGGAGAGAAAAGGAATTAATTAATGTGTCTGTGGGATGGATTGAGATCGTTTGCCGTAGCATTGCGATGCATGCAAGCAGAGGGACTGTTTGATGTACTCTTGCATAGTATGGATGATGATTGGATAACGGGCGCGGATGTACTGAGATTTAGTTGGTAGATTATGGGAGAACAAGGGAATTTCTACTTGGTTTCTTCGGACATTCGATTAGTGATCGGAATCGCGTGCCGGATCGATGTGGTTATGCATTCCTCTCTGGTGGTGGGTCTCCGGTTTCCACTGCCCTCGATTACGAGACTTTCCCATCTCGACCCTCACTGGCCGAGCTGCCTTTCTGCGCAAACCTACAAACCTCGGCCTACCCGGTTTACCCAACATTCGTTTTCGTGAAGAATGATTTTCGGTTGGACCGGATTCGAGCCGGCTGACAGTTCAACCAGCCATGAGCCCATCCTGACGAAGACATTTTTCGGTTTCGTCGACCTCTTCTTCCTGCAGCCGTCTGCAAAAGACGGGTCCGATTTGCGTGCTATAGCGCTGTGTTCCACCTTCTTCCTCTTAGCTCTCACGACGACATGCGACCCCCCCCCCCCCCCCCCCCCCCCCCCCCCCCCCCCCCCCCCCCCCCCCCCNCGCTCCACTTCGTGGTCCGTCCAGTCTCCGCCCCCCTGCCCATCTTCTTCTACATACCGTGTGGGCGAAACAAGACCATTTTTCCAGGCTAAAGTGGCTTCTTCAGCTAGAGGAGAGTGTCGGAATAGGCGGTGGATGGGTTGTGAGGCTGGTGTTGCAGACTATACCAAACCCTTTACAATTAATTGCTGCCCCAAGGCATCTTCCATTGTATTATAGTCGGCCGCCAAAAATTCAACCAAGTCATTGTGGAACAACGCTGATCGGCAAGATTGCACAAGGTTATTGATCATGCGTCGTAACATACTGCTAATAGTACCGCGGTTCTCAAGTTCAATTATTAGGCTTGCTGACATTGATCGACACACCGCAGAGGAAAACAGCTACGGAGGACGATTATTCTAGTGCCAAGATTTGTCCGCGTGCGCGCTATATACCATAGATCATGAGATACATGATATTGTATAGTATCAAGGATGGGAGATGCCGATACGCCTCTAGAGTAGCCAACGCGCCCTTCCACCTTCCATGATCCAAACGACACATATTCCGCCGCCACTGCAACGTTGACCACAGCAGTATCCTTCGCTCTTGCTCTCTGCATGCTCCTCGTTCCATGGCACTACGCAGCGCCCGTTTGGCACTCTGTGGCATGTTCTAACCTTCGCATGCACAACCTCCGACGGGTTTCGAACGTGTGTTCAAGTTGGTGTTGGCTCGCAAGCATTCGCTGCGAGCTTGGCAATATTGCAATCATGCGGCGCCCGGAAATCTGCCCTCGAGGGCAGGAGGGGACCGGCCTGCCCTCAAAACGCCTCCGGAACTAGCCTTCACAGAACCAGTTTTTGAATTGATCTGCTGCACCCAGCACATGACGCCCCAGCAGCACAACACAGCAGCAGACGAACAATAGCAGCAGACCCCTCGGGCTTGTACCCCCAACGGGTTAGGACTTTGGTGTAGACCACCAGCCGTGACATGGATGCTGCACATGCTCACACTTCGCAGAGCTCTGCTCTCTCGGCCGTTCCTACCGCAAGAGATGAAACTGGGAGCAGCAGCAGCTGCAGTGCGTTGGATTTCACCTCGCGCGCGACAGGACTGCGCGGACATGCAGAGACTTATGGTCTGGGGGAAGAGGACGTGTTGGGCATAGACGTTGGCGACGACTCCGCCGCTGGTAAAAGCGGAGGAGGATTTGGCGATAGCACCGCCCTGCCAGCTCCAGCTTTTACCACAGCCCTCCCAGCTCCAGGCACCGCCCGTCTGGCTCCGAGCACCGCCCCGCCAGCTCCAAGCACGTCCCCTCCAGCCATAAGCACCGCCGCGCCAGCTCCAAGCACCGCCGCGCCAGCTCCAAGCACCGCCCCTCCAGCTTTAAGCACTGCCCCTCCAGCTTCAAGCACTGCCCCGTCAGCGCCAAGCACCGCTCCGCCAGCGCCAAGCATCGCTCCGCCAGCGCCAAGCATCGCTCCGCGGGCTAGCCAACTGAGGAGATCCGAAGGTGCGATAGACACTGCATGCAGCCAGAGCACACGTCGTCTATGCACGCCATGCAGTACTTCTGTCCACACTAGGCTTGTACATACATTAAGTGGGCTACCTGCTTGCATTCCCACATGTCGACTTGCAACGCATGCAGGGCACGGCAGGCCTTTCGGCCCTCCGCGGATGTATGTGCAATA